TTCTCCTACTTAACTGCCTGTAGGGTAAGGTAAAAGGTATCAGGCTTTTCTGCCCTTCCACCATCAGGATAGATGAGAGAGCCCTGTGATCCTGGGTGCATGCCTGATGGCGGGCACCTGAAGTGGGTACACCTGCGCTAAAAGACTGATACTATAAGGGTGGTGCAGCAGAGTGCGGTGTGGTGGTAGTGCGGTGTTAAGGGTGGAGGAGTGGAGTGTACGGAGGAGTGTTGGAGCGACTACAAACCACGGCGAAGAGCATGTGGCTGCTAGAACCGTTCATAAACCTGCTCAGAATGGGTTGGTTGCTTTACACTGCCTAATGTTAATTTGATTATTTGACCAGCTGAGGAATAACCCAGAGAGGGAGAGGAATTTCCTCTGCACCCCTACATCACAATGCAAATACAGTAAATAAACCAACAAGTTTCTTAGCGTTGGCTAAAGTAAACCATGCTCTTTTAAACCATGTTGAGTTATATCTTCACCTGCACCAAAGAGAGGCCATGCTGAACAGGGGACATAAAGAAATAAAGCTACTCTGCTCCCATTAGGCGTGAGACCCTTTGCTCCACAGAAGATTTCCTTTATGTATAAAAAAAAAGATAAAAAAAAAATCCAATACACCCTAGTTAGAATTGCTTCCTTATCCTTTGCCAGTTGAAAGAGCCTCTTAAATATGGAATTCCTTCGCTGTCCATGTGAACTGACTTGAATATTTATTTTGCTCATCAGCAGTGGTGCTGGTTCTACCTTCATTTAGAGAAAGGAACTCACTTTATAGTAAAGAGATGTAGCAGTTGGGCACATGACCATGGAATCCATTGGACATTCACATGTCCTACGGCCTGTTGGAAGCTTGGCTGAAGCACCAGATGATACCCTGAGGAGGTCAAGTGTTACCTCTGAGATGCAGAATGCTCTCAACCAAACACCATTAAATGGTGATGTTTCCCCTATAGGAGAATATCTGGAAATGGGATTCAGTCCCAGTGGCCCACTTGAGGAATTTGTATTTTTCATCCTCACAACTGTAACCACAGGTTTTGAGGTCTTGGTTCCCAAAGGGGGCATATGTTTAGCAGGAAACACGGAATCTTCACTGAACTTTAAGCTACAGTACTACCCAAGAAATTTAAGTCTCTCATGCCAAGGATTAGGAGGCAAGAAAAAGATCCTGGCATGGGTAATTGACTCTGATCATCGAGAGGTACTAGAGCTACTGTTACACAATAGAGTTAGGAAAGTGTGTGTTCGGCACCTAGATATCAACTGGGGCATCTTGCAGAACTGTGTCATGCAATTTTGATGGCAAATAGACATAGGCAGCAGGTATCACCTGAGAGGGCCATAGTATACAGAAATTGGAATGAATCAGTTTTGAGCATCTCAGTCACTCCACTAAGGAAGTTACCTAAATCTTCAGAGGTGCTAATTGACAGAAGAATCTAGAATGAACAACAGGAGGGAAAGAATGAATATAGGTTATAGTTTGAAGACCAGCTGCTGCAGCAGGGAGCTTATAGTTCATGTTACTAAACTTCTTTTCATACATAGTTTCCTCCAGAAAAAGAGACCCACCTGCATCCTGAAAGTGCTACTTCCAGAACTCATGGGAAAAACATGGATCTGTGTGGTATATGGTCTGAACATTCTGGAAGCTGTTCTGCTTAGCCACAGCTGTCAGCCCTCTTAGGAATTACTTTTGCTGAAAAGAGCTGCTTTGCTTTAAGTCAGACCCCCTTCTGGATATCCAGTGTCCACCAACTGATTGATACCCAATCTATTTTCTTTTCTTCAGCAGGTATTAATTAGAGTTCTCCCGAAAAATAAATTCCTACTGGCTAGTATCCATCTCACATTCAACTCTTCAGTTACGGTCTCTATTGCTGATTACAGTTTGGAGAAGACAACAAACAAATAAATAAATTTTTGACTTGTACTCTGAAGGAAATTAACAAGATCCTGTAATAGCAAATGATGGGAAAGCTATACTTGGAGAGGAAGTGACATTTAAGCCAAGCCAAGAACTAGACAATAGAAGTAAGTCGTGTGATGAACAGATATGAGGTTATGTTTCAGAGAGAGAAACATCTTGGATGAAGGCTCTTGGCCAAAGACCTTAGCATGTTAACAGTCACCCATAGCTTTATTATCTTTTTTTTTTTAAAGATCTATTTATTTATGCATACAAGAACTGGTGTTCAGGCCAGAGTTGCGGGGCATGAGAGGATTCACCATAGACAGAGTGGGAAACAGAACAGGTGGATTGACTGAAATACACTGCTGAGGGGAGCAGCAGGCAAGTCAAGAGAGGTCTGCTGCGCCATGTGAGTAGCTCCCTGGCCAGTGGCTATGGCTAGCTTCATAGGTTGCATCTTAACCCTTGCACCACCAGGGAGGCCCACTTTATTATCTTTTTAAAGGATTTTATTTCAAATGCAATGGGAGGTCTTTAAAGGGTTTTTGAACAAGAAACTACAATACTGTGGTTTGTATTTAAAAAAAATATCTCTGTTAGTGGGGAGAACAAACTGGATGGGAGGAAACCATTATGGAAGTTATTGCAGTGTTAGGAAACATGCCCTCAAAAGTTTGCCTCTTCCCTCCAAGCCATGTTCTGGGAGCTGAGACCCTGGAATTATAAAATCTGCATGGGCCTTTTCCTGATACTCATCCTCCCCAGACATATGATGACCAGAAAGTGACTGTTGTAGGGCTAGGAACTGGAATGTCTACAAACATGTGAAAATCCCTTGCAGTGTGAACTGAAGCCCAGACTGGAAAAGAAGGGGATTGAGTTGTGGAGCAGGGACCAGGATGGTAATCTCTCCCTAACTTGCCCACTTCCAATATAGAACAGAAGCCCCAAAATTCCATGATCCTGAATTCAAGAGTTGGTCATCTAGGTCATTAAAAAGTTATGTGTTGGGCCTCCCCGGTGGCACAGCGGTTGAGCGCTGGGTTGCGAAGCTGCCCGTGGCCTCTGCAGCGCCGGTTCAATCCCCGGCTGCTCCCCAGCCACCAGAGGAGGGTCCCACATGGCGCGCAGACCTCTCCTGCCGCCCGCTGCTCCCCTCAGCAGTGTACTTTGGTCCTTCTGCCTGCTCTGCTCCCCGCTCTGCCTCTGGTGAATTCTCTCACCCTCCCGCGCTTCTGACTGTACCACCCAGTGCTTGTATAAACAAAAACAAACAAATAATAAAACATGCCTCTATAAAAAAAAAAATTAAAAAAAAAAAGTTATGTGTTATGGAAAACAGTATGGAGGTTTCTCAAAATGTTAGAAATAGATCTACCATACAGTCTAACAAATCCACTCCTAGGTATCTACCTAAATAATGTAAAAACACTAGGCGTATGCACTCCTGTGTTCACGGCAGCGCTATTTACAGTGCCACGTTATGGAAACAGCCTAAGTGCCCAACAACAGATGAGTGGATTAAGAAAAAATGATATATATACACAGTGGAATACATACCAGCTATTTAAAAAAAATGAAATCCAGCCATTTATGATGCATGAATGGAACTGGAGGGGATTATACTAGTGAAATAAGAAGGAGAAAAACAAATACCAGATCATTTCACTCATCTATGAAATATAAAGAAAAAGCAAAGGAACATATAAAATTAAAATAAGCAAATCTTCACAATCTGACTGTAGAACTGAAACCTGAGAGGGCGAGAGGGAATGGGTAATAAAGAGGGAAGGGGATCCAGTGGATCATAGTGCTGGATACTGGGTGCTTTGATGGTGGACATAGTGTGGGAACATACATCTAAAGAGATGTAAACCAGGGCCTCCCCGGTGGCACAGTGGTTGAGCGCTGGGTTGCAAAGCTGCCCGCAGCCTCTGCAGCGCAGGTTCGATCCCTGGCTGCTCCCCGGCCACCAGAGGAGGGTCCCGCATGGCGCGCAGACCTCTCCTGCCGCCCGCTGCTCCCCTCAGCAGTGTACTTTGGTCCTTCTGCCTGCTCTGCTCCCCGCTCTGGCTCTGGTGAATTCTCTCACCCTCCCGCGCCTCTAACTGTACCCAGTGCTTGTACAAATAAATAAATAAATTTAAAAAACAAATAAATAAAGCACGTATTAAATAAATAAATAATAAAGAGATGTAAACCAATACCCCTAAATCATATACTGTGTTGTAAACCAATATTACCTCAATAAAAAACAATACAATTTTAAAAAATAAACAAAAATAGTGGCCTCCTTGGTGGTGCAAGGGGTTAAGTCTCAGCACTATGAAGCAATCCGCAGCCATTGCAGCAAGAGTTCAATCCCCGGACAGGGAGCTACCCATATGGCGCAGCAGACCTCTCCTGTCTTGCCCACTGTTCCCCTCAGCAGTCAATCTGCCTGTATTGCAGAGGATTCTGGTGAATCCTCTCACCCCTTGCACCTCTGGCCTATATCCCAGTTCTTCTATGCAAAAATAAATAAATAAATCTTTTAGAAAAAAAAGAGTTAAAACATTCTGAGGTCCTTATGATGTTGAATATAAATTTAAAATTTTTCACCTGTAAATTTTAATATTTTTAAGAAAAATATAAGCAAATATGCAAAAAGACAGGAAAAGGGTCAATAGTTAGGATAAAGGACCAAAAAAAGAAAAATTAACTGGTAGTGTATAAAATTTCCCTTGTTTCAATAAGGAATTGGAGACACTAATTTACTCTTTATAAGTTTCCTGTATCTCAACCAGCCACCATAAAACCAGTGACCTCTATCACTATTTCCCCCAACTATAAATTATTATTCGTCTATGAAGACAACGTTATGAAAGCTGTTGTTCTTCATTCTTATAAAACTCTATAAAAATAGATGTTAAAATGTTAGTGGAAATCTCTGATAGTTAGGGCTTTTATCAGTCAATTATCAATAACTATTTGCTCAAAACCCTGCTATTTTCTGTGAGCAATACAAAATAAAGAAGTACAGTCCCTGCCAACAGGTAGCTTACAGGCTGATTAGGAGGTGCAAGTTATATAAACCCACCTGAAAATAAACTCTAGAAGAGAAGACAGTTGAAGATAAAATCCTAACACTGTCCAAGTGTTACAGTTGAGGGCAAACGGCATCCTATTCCAATAGGATGTCCTGGAAGGCTCTGTCTTGAGTACATGAAATCGTATCTGGGCTGTGAGAAGTAGACTCTCATTTAAGAAAACTGGGATGAGACAGGAGCAAAAGCCCTAGAATATCAAAAGGGTAAGAAAGCAGGGTAAGTGGGCCGTCCTGGTGGCGCAAGGGGTTAAGTACCGCACTATGAAGCAATCCAGAGCCTCTGCAGCACGAGTAGGATCTGCAGCCAGCCAGGGAGCAGCCCACTTGGTGCGGCAGACCTCTCCTGTCTTGCCCGCTGCTCCCCTCAGCAGTGTATTTCAGTAGATCTGCCTGTTCTGCTCCCCACTCTGTTTCTGGTGAATCCTCTCACCCCCACATCCCTGATCTGTACACCAGCTGTTGTATGCATAAATAAATAAATCTTTAAAAAAAGAAAGAAAGAAAGAAAGCAGGGTAAGTAAGCATTGTGTGAAATAGTGAGAGAAATAATTGAATGATTCTTAACATAAATTGAAGTCATCACAAGGAAGAAATTATCTGTACTTGATTTTCTGTTTATATTCTGTTAAAGCTTTTTATAATGCAGCAAATTATAAGTAGAAAATACTGACTTTCTACAAGTTAAATATGTGAATTGCTCAGATTTTTACTATCACACACAACTTTATTTCCTAGACTTTCTCTAGCTTGGGAAAAAAGACCAGATCTAGCATACTGCACAAAGCATCTCATAGGACGGCTTATGTTTTGATTCAGGGTTTTAGGCACTTGGTCTGTATTACTAAGAGTCATGATATTAATAACATTTGATATCTGTTAAGCAGGTATTGTGTCAGGTGTTGTGCTCTGTATTTGACATACTATATTAGTCAATGCTAGTTGCTATAACAGATAAACCCCAGAAGCTCAGTGACTTACCAAAAGAGAAATTTACTTCTTATATTTGTGAAGGCCCAAACAAGTGTTTCTAAAAGACATAAAGCTTTCCTCCCAGCTATGATTTGGGGACCCTGTTTCCTTGTATTTTGTAGTTTTGCCCTCTTTAATAAGTGCATCCAGTGGTAATGCTTTCACACAGGTGGGAAAGAGCAAGAAGGATCACAACGCGACATTTCTGTGCCTCAGCTTAGAAGTCGCTGGCATCTCTTCCTCTCACATTCTACAGCCAGAATTCAGTTAGATAGTGACAACTGAAGGTGTGAAATGTCTGGCTGTTTGCCCCAGAAGAAAAAGAAACGGCTTGGTGAACAGTTTGCCAGGCTCTGCCACACATACACTTTCTCCCTATTTATTCCTCACAACCCCATAAAACATGTGCTAGAACTTACACCACTTTACAGATGACAAAACTGAAAATTTGATAGGATAAGTCCCTTGCCTAGTATCTCACAGTTAAAAAAATGACGGAATTCAAACTCAGACCTAGGCAGTCTAACTCCAGAAACCATACTCTTTACCAAGTTAACAGCAATGGGACTGAAAGTCATGTTACTGAAGAAGACTATTTAGGTTTCATTTTATTTATTTATTTTTTAAAGATTTATTTATTTATTTATACAAGCGCTGGGTACAGTCAGAAGCGCGGAGGGTGAGAGGATTCACCAGAGCCAGAGCGGGGAGCAGAGCAGGCAGAAGGACCGAAGTACACTGCTGAGGGGAGCAGCGGGCGGCAGGAGAGGTCTGCGCGCCATGTGGGACCCTCACCCAGTGGCCGGGGATCGAACCGGCGCTGCAGAGGCTGCGGGCAGCTTTGCAACCTAGCGCTCAACCGCTGCGCCACCGTGGAGGCAGTTATCAGAGAGGTGTGATGATTTTAGAACTCAAAGTTATTGAAACCTGTCATTTTAGTGATGAAGAAAATGTAATCTAGAGGTAGTGTCCTATTGAGGGGCAAATCACTACTTCTCATACAATGTAAAGAACATATTTACAAGAAATACAATCTTGAAAAGCTAATAACTTTCTAAAAGCCAACTTCCTAAAATATGTGGTAAAATGTAGTTAAATACAAGTGTCTAATGAAGTCAGTTTCTTGTTTTTAGTCTTTAAGAAGCAAAGCAGGGTAAGCCTGCCACCTTGTGGCATAGACCAAAAGTTAGTGTCTATGAAATGTTTCACTCCCATTTATTTTGTTTCTATTTAATTTACTAACCTACCCAGATTTGATATTGCCTGATAAAAAAATTCATATACACCTATGGTATATGAGTAGGATTAAGTAATTTTTAATTTCAATAGGATTAAATAACTTAATTTCAGGATACATTTCTTTATCCAATACTAAAATACCGCAACATTTCTGAGTCTGCAAGGGGTGGTTGATTTTTAAAACAGCACATTCACAAGAGTATTTCTTCGGCACTTTACAAACAAGAAAATGAACTCAGCAATTGCTGAGTGAACTCAGAATTTATTTCAATGCACTCAGAAGTGAATCAATGAACCAGGTTAGAAAGCAAAATTCTAAATCATGCAACAGGTATATAAAGGACTATTTAATATGTATAAAAATATTCATATGAAGATGAATCAGAATTTATATAGGGTTTACTATTTCCTAGAGTTTTAACAGTATGCCAGCTTTATGTGTTACCACCTGCCAAGGGGACATTTCCCAGCCCTCTCCCTGCATTAAGTAAACAAGAATGACATCCCCCAGTTTTTAAAAGGCAATAAATATGACAGGTAAGATTGATCTTTTCAAAGAACAAACTTTTGACTTTGTTGAGTTTCTCTTTTTTCTGTTTATTTCCATTTAATTTTGATTATTTTATTCCTTTCACTAGCTTTTTAATTTTCTTTTCTTTTCTCTCTTGTTTTATGACTAGCATTAGCTCATTGATTTTACAGCTTTCATCTTTTCTAATATAAGCATGTAAGTATATGCTTATATTAGTGGCGTTTGCTGTAAACCACTAATTTTTGTGTTGTATTTTCACTGTCACTCAACATCTTTTAATTTTCTTTGCAATTATTTCTTTGACCTATGGGTTATGTAGAAGTATGTTAATTAATACAATTTGGGGAGTTTTCCAGATATCTTCCCATTATTTATTGCTACTTTCATTCACAGTGGTCACACAGAGCTTAAACTCTGTGATTTCAGTTCTTTTTAAATATTGAGACTTGTTCAGCAGTCTATCATATCATCTATGCTGGTGAATGTTCTGTGCTCTCCTGTGTTCCCCAGTGTAATCACTGCATACTTGACAAGATAGCATTCTGCTCCCAGGTGGCAAATAAGATCCAGGTAGAACCAGCTGGCAGGCTCCACACTGGGAAACAGACTACATGCTACCTTGTAGGAGACAGAATTCACTAACTCAACAACAGAAACATGATCCACTAGTTCATGTTTGAATCATATATCTTATGATTCAGGGTCCCCTGTTATCATTCCCTTGGTTCTATGGAACCTCAGAGAAATCTTATAAAATAAACATGCTAGGGCCTTCCTGGTGGCACAGCGGGCTGAGTGAAACGCTGTGAAGCTGTAAACACCCTCTGCAGCCCCAGTTCGATTCCTAGCCGGCCAGGGAGATAGCCATGTGGTGCGGCAGACCTCTCCTATCTCGCCAGCTGTTCCACTCAGCATTGCTTTCAGTCCATCTACCTGTTCTGCTCCCTGCTCTGTCTCTGGTGAATCCTTTCACCCTCTCACAATTCTGACCTGTACCCCAGCTCTTGTACAGATAAATAAGTCTTTAAAAAAAAAACATGCTATTTTTTAAAGTTCAGGGGAAAAAAGTCTTTAGAAATTAAAAATATAATAAACGAAATGAAAAGAGTAATGGAAGGGTTGAAAGATAATGTCCTTCAAAAAGAGCAAAAAGGCAAATTTGTAAGAAAGGAAAGGAAATATTTATTACATTAAAGAGTAAGTCAGGCCTCCCTGGTGGCACAGTGTTGAGCGCAGTGCTGTGAAGCTGTCCGCAGCCTCTGCAGCGCCGGTGGATTCCCAGCCAGCCAGGGAGCTACCCACATGGCACGGAAGACCTTTCCTGTCTTGCCCGCTGCTCCCCTCTGCAGTGTTTTTGGTCCATCTGCCTGTTCTGCTCCCCGCTGTGGCTCTGGCGAATCCTTTCACCTTCCCTCACCGCTGGCCTGTACTCTAGTTCTTGTATGCATAAATAAATAAATCTTTTTTTTTTAATAAATAAAGAGTAAGTCAAAGTTCAGCAATCAAATAACAGGAGTTCCAGAAAGAGAGACCATAAAAAAATGGAAAGCAGAGTTCAAGATGATGTTCCAGAATTGAAAGTAATTTACTTTCAGAAGTGAGTGGCTGAGGAAAGGAAGGATCCACTAAGTTTCCAACATAATGGATGAAAATAGACTCTTACCGGAACACATGATTATGACATTTCAGAATTCCTGGAACAAAGATTTTATCACTTCCAGAGAGAAAAAAGTTATAATCACTGGATCAAGAGCAAGTCTGGTTTTAGATTCCCAACAATTGTGGAAGTCAGAACACAATGAAGCAATACCTTCAATGTTCTGAGAGAAAATTATTTCTATTCTAGAATTCCAAACACAGCCAAACTAGTAATTCGTTATTAGAGTAAAATAAAGCCACTTTCAGAGTCTCAAGGTCTAAAAACTTCTCATGAATCTAAGAAACTACTAGAGATGTGTGTCATAAAATCGACAGAATGAACCAACAGAGGGGAACCCCTGAGATGTAAAAGCAGAGGATCCAACAAGGAGAGAGGGCCATGGAATCTCAAAAAGGATGTGCAGAGCAACTTGTTAAATTGAAGTAGAATGACTTAAGAGAGACACATGAAGACTGTTATCACAGAACTATCTGCAACCATCATACTCTCTTCCTGGAGGAAAAAATTGCAAGCAAGCCTGACTCAGGTCCTTATTTGCATTTGACTGGCCTTAATCTTGTTCAAAGAAGCTTCTCCCTTAGAGTGTCTCTGGTTCATAGTTGTTTGTTGATTTTGATATTTTCTTTCTTATAGTTATTCTTTTTCCTGGTCCCTTATTTAAGTTTTCTAGATTCCTGCTATGAGTGAGGGGGGCGGGGAAAGGAGGGATTGGGGTCAAAATAAGGGGATTGTAATTTTATGGGGAATATAAAAATAAAATTTAAATTAAAAAAAGATTCAAGAAAAAAATAAAAAGAGGAAATACGTTCAAGGTTTATAATTAAAAGAGGTGCCAATGTGATGAGGTGGAAGGCTAGTTATTAAAGAAAGGATTAATGAATTAATCCGTTGTAAAAGAAGTAAATGAAAAAGACTTGCAGATTTCTATTGGTCTTTTCACAAGCTTAAAGAAATTCTATGTTTTTGAGAGGGAGGGAGGGTAGGGGTAGCAACAAAGCAGGGGCAATGGTCTAGGTAAAATGTGTTAGGTGGTGGGCGTGATGGGGCAACATACATCAATGGGAATGTGAACCTTCTCCCCTAAATTATATGCACTGTTTTAAACCAGTGCTACCTCAATAAAAGTAATTCTATGTTTAAAAAAAAAAAAAAACAACATGTTTTCCTAATAAACATTGCTATTGCTGTGACTAAAAAAAAAAAAGTTTCTCCCTTCCTCTTTATACCCTACAGCCAGGACCAACTGAGGCTACTCCCTTCACCCCATGAAGTACTCTGATATGCCCATCACTGAGAACTGAAGATAAGCTTTGAGGTAGAAAATACAGAAAAGTCCTTTCCTACTTATCATATTCCTGCTAGAAAACCAGTACTAGGCCTGCACTAAGGCCCAAATGTTGATGAGCCCTTTGCTTTGTAAGACAAAGTCATGGCCTTGCCCACTGACTGCTCCAGAAGGGGCTCCTGTGAAGCTCCCAGACTATGACCAGAGACCCTTCAGCTCAGCTTCTGCTGGGAGCCTTCATCTCACAGGGCTGATGTTCATTCTTAGATTTGTGCTTGCTTCTCGGTTTTTTATTGTCTCATTTTCACATATTTTTCTATGATAGTTGCTGTTGGCAAAAATGACATAATATTTGACTGAAGATAAAAAAGAAAATAACTAGGTTGGGGCAAGTTACTTAATCTCTTTTAGCTCAGTTTTCTATTCTGTAAAAGGACGAAAAAATCGCATTTCTCAGAGGTACCAGAGCAGTAAGCAAACTACTGTGGATATCATGTATGATGCAGACCAGGGGCTAAATCAGGGATAGCTACACTCTTCTAAATCTCAATGTGGTAATTCCTTTAATTTGTGAACGTGAGTGTGTGTGCGTTCGGGGTGCATATACAATCTACTGAGAGTAAAGCGGGGCGGTCTGCACTTACTGAAGTAAAAGAGTTTTCCATAGGGGCCAACTCTTGAGTTCTTGCATAAAAAAGTGCAGTGTGACAAGATCTGGGGCCCAGAAAGCATGTGAGCTGTGGTAGACTGGAATAGGCTATGCCTCTCACATATGTTTTTTATACATTACTGTAGAAAGTGTCAAATATATGTAAAATAGAGAGACTAATATCATATATCATGTCTCTCCAGCTTCAAAATTATCAATTCATGGCCAAATTTGTTATGTTTATATTCTAAGCTGCTTCTTCTCTACTACCAGATTATTTATAACCAGATCTTAGAATCATGTAATTTCAGCTGTAAATATTTTCGTATCATACCTCTCATATTTTCTTAAGACCTTCTCAGCATTAAATAAATCCTTAAAAAAAATTAACTAAGTGGACCCATGTGGTAAAATGCAAAGATCATAACAAGCATATTATTGTTAAATAAAGTAAGTCACACACATCACATTACATTTTAAAAGACCCAAACAAACAAAAATAAAAATAACAATAAAATATATGCGTGTGCTCTACATTGTCTAAGTATAGAATAGGGAGAGATCTGTAAAAATATCTATCAGACTAATTACCTCTGAGGAGGGGAATGATTTGGAGAATAAACTTACAAATTTTGCATTGTGGACTTTTATATTGAAAAAATACACTCTTCATGACTTATGTAATTGTTTATATTAAAAATATAAGAAAATTGAAGTAAACACTTTGCACCTTGCTGTCCAGAGTGACAGTAACTCATCTGGGAAATGAAGAAAAGCCTCCAGTTCTGATCTGAGTTTCTAACTACCAAGTGACCTTCCCATCTCCTTCCTAATCAAGTTTTTTTTTCCCCTGACAACTAAAAATACACCACCCATTTCAGGAAATGAAGCTGATTGAATAGCAGCTGTTGCTGGGGACCTACTTTGCATATTAAAACAACCTTGGAAGAAAAATAGCAAAAACTCAGTCATCAGCTCCTGTTTTGAGGCACGGCTAGAGCTCATCACACACATTTGTCTTTGCCTCCACATTATCCTTCCTGCCCATTTTCAAGAGAATGTCTCTGGCTGCTGTTTCTTTCCCCACCTTAGTCTTAGGAAACTTCTGCAAATGCTGTAAAAGCACAAGTTGAAACTGCTTGAGTGGAACTCTAATATCCTTTATATCTTTCTGCGATTATATCAGAAAGCAGATCATCTCCTGCTGTTTCCTTTTCCTGTTTATTTTATTTATTTTTTACAAAGAGATTCTCTACGAAGATACTATTTCTGTTCAAACCAGGAGAGAGAGCACAAAGAGACAGGCATAAAAATTTTCCTCAGCTTTGCCATGTTCTTCACTCAATTATAAAGAGATGGCATTTCCAATAAAATAGAGTCTAGAAATCGCAAAAAAGTTCTGGAAGATGAGCTGTGCTATAAATGTAAAACACTCACAAACCACTAAAAGTGATAATATTTCAAAGCACAATTTGTAATGCAAAATAAAAACACTTACAAGCATCTGCAATGTTATATTCTACATGTAATTCTCTTATATGATGGACTATTCTCATATACGAGAATAATATTGATCTGTTCATATGGCATGCAGACACATTTTGTAGACTTTTAAAAATTAATGTGATAGGTTGTATGGTGTTGCATATAGCTGCTTATATCACACCATACCTATAGTTTATGATAGCCGAATGAAACTTTAGGGACTACCTAGCCCAACCTCTTACTTTACAGACCAGAAAACTTAAGTTCAGCAAGATTAAATAACTTACCTAAGTTAGGCAGAAAGTAGCAGACCTGGGGCTAGCATCCAGCTGTCCTAGTTTTTCAACCTGCTTTCTTCCTAATCTATGGTGGTACCTCACTGACCCAGCCATATCATCAATATAGCAGGCAAGAATTTCTGCAGCATTGCCTCTGAGTCTTAATTTTGGAGTAGATGACTGTGCTAAACAAGCAAAAAATTTTGAGCAGTAGGGTGCATACATACACGCTATGAATGCACATTAAATGACAAAGATCTTAGAAGACTACCTGGTATCAAAAGTTCCTTCTACCCTAAAATGTTGGCAGACATTGTTGCCCACCTGATACTGTTCTCACTTTCTTCTTGCTCAGAATACAAGATTTTATCTAACGATTGAGAGAGGGGGCAATATGCTCTGAGGTGGAGCCAGCTTGGCCATACCAGGTAAGTTCATTTTCTGGGCCAATGAAATATTAGAAAAAGGGCCTCCCCGGTGGCGCAGCGGTTGAGCGCTGGGTTGCGAAGCTGCCCGCAGCCTCTGCGGCACCATGTTCCATCCCCGGCTGCTCCCCGGCCACCAGAGGAGGGTCCCACATGGCGCGCAGACCTCTCCTGCTGCCCGCTGCTCCCCTCAGCAGTGTACTTCGTCCTTCTGCCTGTTCTGTTCCCCGCTCTGGCTCTGGTGAATTCTCTCACCCTCCCTCGCTTCTGACTGTACCCAGTGCTTGTATAAATAAATAAATAAATCTTAAAAAAAAAAAAAAGAATATTAGAAAAAATTGACTGGAAGCCTTTTGGGAAATATTTCCTTCCTGATAAGACAAATATACACACATGCACACCAGCACTCAGGAAGACTGCTGCCTTTCCCTTCTTTCGGCTTTTGGATTCCGTTGCTCAAGGCTAAGATGTTTCATGTTGCTGCACTGAGAAAGAAAAAAGCCCATGAACCAACAATGCCAAGGCAGAAAGGTGGGAAGAGACTGGCTCCTTACTGCCACTACTGAGCTGCCCAGCGCCCCTGGAACCACCGCCCCCCTCACCTACAGGCTTGTGAAACAATGAGAGCATCTTACTGCTTCAGCCATTGGCAGCTGTTCTATCACGAGAGGTCAAAAGCAGTTGCTTTCCCTCTCTGAGCCTCAGCCTTTTCCTTTATGACATGGAGACAGCAATACCTACTTGGTAGGGTGTTGTGGGGGAGGAAGAGAGGTAATACAATGTCCAAATGAAGACACTCAACAGCTGCCAGTGTCATAACCTTCATAACAAGTATATAAAAATCCTCACCAGTGCAAGCGCTTTCTCCTCTCCCCTAGTCTCTTTGGCACCTGGAAACTTTTCCCGGCAGTGATGTTCTGGGGACAGTATTTCAGCATCTACTTACTCTCTCATAGCTGAGGAACTCAAGGTCTAGGTGCTTTGG